TAGTTAAGGACATCCATCCATCTCTTCTCCAATATCAGTTGATTTACTCCCATCAGAATACTAATATTCTGTATTATCTTCTGTTTAAAAATAAAATCCCTTGACTCCACTTTGTCCTTTAGATACTGCTCTGTTTCTCCTTTCTACTTTAGAGAAAATTTCCTTGGATGAAAAATGGTTTTATTCTCCTCTTCAATTCCTCTCCTCCTATTCTCTCCTGAACTTATTTTAGGCATGCTTTAATCTCTACCACTACTCCAGCATGCTCTCATCAAGCTCACCAGTGGCTTCCACATCATTAAATCAAGTGGCCAATTCTTAGCACTCACTCCTTTCACCTATCAGCAGCATTTAGCAGAGCTGAGCAGTCACTCATTTGGGAGATTACTTCATTCACCAGGCTTTTGGGAAAAATCTTGGTTTTCTCAGCTTTACTTAAAAATAATCTGTAATCTGGGGTGCCTGGCTGGCTCAGTTGTTCAGCGTCTGCCTTCGGCTCAGGTCATGATCCTGGGGTCCTGGGATCGAGCCCTGCATTGGGCTCCCTGCTTGGCGGGAAGCCTGTTTCTCCCTCTCCCACTCCCCCTGCTTGTGTTCCCTCTCTTGCTGTGTCTTTCTCTGTCAAATAAATAAATAAAATCTAAAAAAAAAAAAAAAAATCTGTAATCTGGCCACTTTTTTTTTTTTTTTACCATCCTCATGCTACTGTCCTGGTGCTGTCCACAGTTGGCTCTTCTCTGGATTATTAGTAACCTCCTAAATGGTTGTCTTGCTTACATGCTGCCCTTTATTAAGTGTAGGCAATCTTAATAGCACAGCCAGAGATATCCTTTTACATTTATGTCAGATCATACTTCTCCTCTGGTCAGTCCCCTCCCAAGGCTTCGGTATTGTTTTTAGTGGAAAATCGAAACTCCTCTAGGACCCAACCCTCTCTTGACTGGATTTTTTTTTTATCAATCTCCTTTCTCATCTCTGGGAATTGGCTTCACTGATTTTCCTTAGGGGCTTTACACTTGTTCCAATCACAGGACCTTGACACTTGCTGTTTCCTCTTCTTCCAGCTATGTACCTAGATCTCTCCCTTAACTGCCTTCAGAGTTCTACTCCAATGTCAACTACTCAGGGAGACCTTCCCCGACCACCTTATGTAAAACAACACCTTCCCACATGCCCGTGTTCCCAGCATGCCCTATTCTGCTCACTTTGCCTTAGTTTTCTCTGTAACACTCCTTGCTATCTGACATCTTATATATTTGCTTGTCTATTTGTTTATTATTTATCTTCCTGCCACTAAACTGCCTTCAGTGAGGGCAGGGCTTTTGTTTAATTTGTTTACTGTCATTTGCTAGCGCTAGAGCACTGCCCAACAGAGAGTATGTACTCAGTAAATATACTGAGAGGTTTCAGAAATGAATAATAGATCCGTTCTTCAAGGTCACGTATTAATTTTTCTGAGAGAAAAATCCATTAAGTCATTATGAGTTATTAATACCTCAGTGTAATTTATGTCCAATTACAGCTAAGAAAACTTGAGGGAGTGGGGACAGGTGGGGATCAGGACACCTAGCATCCGGGAATTGTCCTTAATGCACTCTGACTCTAAAGTTCTTGTTGTTGTTGCTTAGATTTCACCAGCTGTAAAATGATGTTGTTGGACTAGATTGGAGGTTTTTAGCCTAGGATCTAGGGACTGGATTTCCCCACAATGAGTTTCAGGGGATATGTGCATCTCCTATTGCTGTATGAAAAATTTCAAGGCCATGTAAACGTGTACATTTTTTTTTTTTTCCGGATGAGAGAAAGTTCTGTGACCCTGAAATAGAGTAGAAGTCCTTGAAGTCTCTTTTAGTCTTAACTTCATATGATTCTAAGTTTTGAAAGAGGATGGCAGGAGACAGCCTGATGCTGCTCTACACAGCTAGAAGGCAGTCTTCATTCTGCCACATCCTGAGCAAGTCACTCCTCTGCTTTGCTTTGTTTTGTGTGACTTGTAAGATGAAGGGTTGGGACTAAATGATCCAAAGTAATACCTTTTGATTGTAATTCAATATAAACAAAGCTGATGGAGAAGACAAACAAACAAAACCTGTAGTGAGTTTGGGAATTCAGACTGGTCCTTGCTGGGCCCTCAGGAGGCAGAATTGTAGACCTGCTAAAGTTCTAAGAGTACTTTAAGAGGTAAGAAAGGGAAGATAGGTGGTTCCTGCATAGGACTCTAGCTGAGGGACTCAGTGACCTCCTCAGACACAGAAGATTAATTCTTATGGATGGATGACTGGGAATGGAGAAGAAAAACTTCACTGTTGCCCCTAAAGAGACCTGGGGTCTGATTCCTTAAAGTATAACCTCATAAACACTGAAATAAATTATGGAAAATGTCTCCTTATAGTGTTGAAGAATTTTATTTTGAAGGGTTAAATGGGTGTGTGTAGTCTAATGCTCCCTTGTTATTCTACTTTTCTCATTAGAATTCAGGTAACATTTTGTTATTGAGGAAATGAATTTGTCATAACATGCATAATTTTGATTTGTTTCATTCTCTTAGCTCTTTCCCCCTGCCCTCCAAGCCCTTGCTAGTGCCTGTTATTTCTTTCTTTATAAATGTGTCCTGGTTGCTCTGGAAAAGAAATTTATGACTAGGTTCTAAGAATACACACAGCACTTAGAGGAAGTTGTTTGAAGCCTCTCCTTTCCCAGATAAAAGGAGGGAGGGGACAACAGTGTGGAATGTGGAAGGTTGATCCAGTAATCCCCTCATTCTTTCATTCAGCACCCACTGCATGCCAAACCCTATGCTGAACACTTAAAGTCAAATGAGACATACTCTCTGTTCTACTCTCTCACAGCCACGACAAAACAGAGCCGGATGCCCTCACCCAGGGATTTGCTCTGGAATCTACTCTGTGCACAGCATTTTGCTCCTCCCTCCCTGGAAGTGGGAAAGCTGGATTTTATGATGACAAGGAGAGTGTCTTTGGCCAGGAGACAAGTTGTCTCCATTCCTCCTGCGGGGGAATGGGGCTGAATAGGGTATTTTTTCCGGGCCTGGCCCAAACTGGGCTGTGCCTCGAGGGCCCATTAGGCTGCAGGTCACAGCAGCTGGAGCCCAGGCGCCCAGAGCCAGTCACGCGTCTGTGCTGCCCGCTCCACGAGGCACAATGGAGTCATTGACTATTTATTTACTCCGTACAACAAGGCTGCTGTTGACTTAATTACAGGAGCCTCCCTGCCACCCCCTGGATCTTTAAATGACTAACAGACTCTCCATTGCCGCTAACTAATCTCTCCTTAACCTCTCTGAGTCCTGAGCCTCCCCAACCTGGGCGGGCGCAGGAGGCATGTAGGAGGTACAGAGATTCCGCAGTGGTGTCCAAGAAGCTAGAGGCTGGTGGTCTTGCTTGAGAGCCAGGTAGGGTTTGGGAGGACCGTTTCGGTTTGTTGCAGGACTAGGCTGAATCAGGCGCTAGCCCCAGGGCGTGCAGGGTGGCAATGCTGAGCCAGGCTCCGGCGGGGGCTTAATTATAAGGGGGTTGCAAAGAAAGAAGCAACCAAAGGGCAAACTCTTGTCTCCAGCCAAGACAATCAGTGCCTGGAGACGCAGAGCCTCTCTACTTCCGGGCCTTCAAAATTACAGATTTGAGTGCCTCCGGGGAACAGAGCTGCTGGAGGACTCCGCAGGATCTCACCTGGCCCCTTCCTCTTACAGCCCGTTTGCAAATTGTCTCCAGGCTCAGGGCGGCCTGCGCCCGCTTAGCCTCATTTAAACCTTTTCGCGAATCCCTGCTCGCCAACTTCCTCCCGGGGCAACTTGCTAAGTCTCTGCTCTAGTTAATATCGTAGGGCCGAGGATAAAATAGCAATGGTATTGAATAGATGTTGACTTATCCGACCCAGAGGAGCAGAAATCAGAGATTGTTTGCAGAAGCTAATCGTTTCTGCTGAGAAGCAGGGGAAGCCTTTAGTGCTCGCCGCCAGCGGCTCCTCCCTGAAGCCGAGCCACGGGAAGACTCCTGGTTTTCGGTGCTCCTCCCCACCTCTGGCCCAATAAAAAATCCTCCAGGGAATTTAGACGGGCGGCCGCCTGGCCGGGACTGATCTCCAGGCTCCTTTCTCCGACCTTTGAGTTTGCGACCTCAGGTTCTGCGCCCACCAGATCTCAAACCCCAACTTCGTTCTGCAATTTGCTTGGGTTGATAGTTCAAGGACCTGGGCGGGGCGCGGGGTGGCGGGGGTTCGAAGCCGTTTGTCATTAGGCACCAGACAGTCACAGAGACTTCTCGCCAACACCCCCTCCCCCTGACACTCGGGAGAAGTGATTGCTTTCAGCAACGGAGGAGACGCGAGGTGAGGTGCGCGGATTCCAGGCGTCTAAGAGGGTATGGGCAGCGCGGCGGGGAGAGCATTAGTAGTGTACACAGGAGGCGTAGGTGGAGGTAAGTCGCAGGTCAAAATCTTTACCGCAAACCTCAAAGGGAAATTACAGTAGTTGGACTAAAAGGGCCACTTTGGAGACTACCAGCTGCTCCCCAGATCCTGGCAGCAGAGAAGTTTCGTTGCTATGGTTTCGAAGAGGTATAAAAGCCACCACCCAGAACCAAACGTGCTCGGGCTCCTTGTTTGTGTTGGGGGGCGGGGGGCAGGCGAATTCCTTGGGGGTTTGCAGCACTCCCTGACCGAACATCTCAGTCCCCGTCCCTCCATCCCAGAGCAGGCGGGGGTGTGCACAGGAGATGAAGTCCCGGCCAGGGGATTTTTAACGTCCAAGCCTGGAGGCACCCAGAATTATCGCACTTTCGCTCCTGCGGTCCAGGTCCAGGGGCGAGCGCTGCGCCCTGGTGGCCGCAGCCGCTGGGTGTGTGCAGGGGCCGCGGGGAAAGGAGCGCGGCGCCTTTAAAGCAAGAGGCGAGGAACCCCCGCCAGGAGGCGTGTCTGTCTCCGCCGCCGCCGCCGCCGCCGCTGCTCCGCGGTCTCCGTCTCCGCCGCCGCCGTCACTCGCGCTCGGCGCCCGCGGCTGCGCTCCTCTGTCCGGGAGCCGCAGACTTCCCACCCGACTTCCTCCGGCTGCTCCTCCCCGAGGGCCACCCCTCCCCCTCCCTGCCTACCTCACCCGCAGCGAGAGGTAAGGACTCCCCCGGTGGGCTCTGCTCTGGGCTGCCTCCCGAGGTGTATGTTCCCACAGGAGGGACCAGGGGTGGGCGAGGGGCTTTTAACGGCTGGAGAGGAAGAAGGCGAACAGCAGCGCCGCGGAGCCCGGTGCGCTCAGGGCACCCGCGGGACCGATTCGCTGCGAGTGGCTTTGTCCCGCTCGCCTCAGCCAATTCCCGTCAAGGATACAACTGGCTCAGTTGGCTGCGGGCGCTCGCTTTCTCCATATAAAATAATAAGTGGACGTGTCAGGAAGTGGCCTCAGCTACTGGGACTCACGCGAGGCGAAGAGAGACAGATGGCAAGAATCTGTGTATCTGCCTGCGGGTCTGAAGAACTCCCCTGCCTTCCTTCCATCCGCCCATTTTTCCATTAACCCTGCTCTTTAGTTCTGTGCTGAACTACAGACATTCATTTTAACCAGTGCCAGTGTTGAGAGCTTCTAAAAAAACTCGGAGGGTGTCCCATTAGGGTAGGGGGAGTCACCCACCAGGGTGGATCATAAACGTTAAAAACTTTTAATGACTCTCACCCCCTGATATTTTTACCTCCAAGGAGTTCTTTACTAAATACCACGACTTAGGCTGAGGCTCCCTGGGTAATGATTTCCAGTTTAGAGAATAGGGGTCGGACGTTAGAAAACTTACTACTACTATCCTCTTGGTAACACACAGATTACCTTCTAGCATTTCTTCATCTTCATACTGTAAGTATTCTGTCATCAGAAATTACCTTACGGATTAATGATTATTTTTATTTCAAAAGAGGTGATTGATTCATTTGAATTTTAATTAGCTTGTAGTTTAGTTACTGGAAGATAGATGATAATATTTCAATTTTGATTTGCCTAACTTTTTATAGGAACTGTTCCTGTAACCATCGAGACAGGTTTCAGTGGCCTTAGAAACTAATTAAACAATCAAATAAACAAACAAACAAAATGAAACACACAGAAGGAAGGTGATTGAGAAATAAATGATGCCTGGAGTCTTACCTGTTTGTTTTCTTCTATTTTAAAACGCATTGGGGATTGCACAGACTAAAATTTTTAAAAATAAAAAAAAAGATTCCAGGACATGTAAAGCGATTCCAATTCAATTTCTTAATTAAGGTACACTTATTTTTGGCATCTAAAAATTAATTAAAGCTCTAAATGTCTTTAATCATCAGTGCAGCAGAATGTTGGTGGAACAGCTGGTATGTGTTCAGAATCACAAGGGATTGCATAGCATAGCATTCATAGTTAGAAAGAGCGAAGTGCAAGTATGCAACAGTGTGTTTTTAACTGATATCAGCTCTGACTTTATTCTCTGGCACCTCTAATGCCATGGATGAGCAGCCTGTTTATTTTAGCTCAGCTTCCATACAACAGGCTACACACATGGAAGAATAGGTCAGGTGTTACTATAAGATGAGGTTTCTCAAATGTCACATAACAGCAGGACTTTGGTGACAAGTCAAGTAGAATCCTTAGAAAGAATTCCATGTGAAAAAAATTTAAATACAGGTATGGCATGGAAGAACCTTTGAAACACCTTTGAAATTCAGGTTGTCCTGGGATATGTATTTGCTGTTTCTTGCAAAAGGTATAGGCATTGTCTTTTTAAACGTTATGCTGTAAGGATTATTACACATTTGTACATGCCCCAGCAGGTGGCAGCTAACTAGAATAAGATTCATTTTCACTGGGAGAATAGAAAACTAAAATTGCTTCTCAAGTAATAGTGCCCAAGAATAAGAGGTCATTAGTGTCAGTAAATATAAAAACATAGTGAAAGATGAAGCTAATGGCACTTTGTTGTTGTTGGAACAAGCTTTGCATGAACACGATATACATTTTGTTCTTTGCTAATTTATCACAGGCTTGATATCTCTTCATGTCAGCCTTCTGTGTGTGTGTGTTTGTGTGTGTGTGTAGGCTTACTTTAGATAAAGCTTCTCTCTATGTGTGCATATATGTGTGCATTTGCTGTTTGTCATCTCTGCTTTGACCTTGGAACCTACAGAGCTTTGGCTCCTAGAAATCAAGGTTGCCATATGGTTAAAATAGAGACAAAAAGCAAATGAAACTACGCAATAAGGTGTGTAAATCTCACTATTGGTAAATATATGATTGTCTGACACCAAATAGTATTTTTTTTTTTCCCTTTGAGAAAGGAGCAAATTACAGAACTGACACAATTTTAAAAAGAGTTCAATCTGGTCAGTGAATACTATATAATGACTTTATCAATCCTTCATATAGCCTTAGAATTATGATGTGTGGTATCAGTATTGGGGAGAAACTTGCAATAACTTCAAAATTGCCCTACTCTGAGGTATCTTCTCTACAATCTATTCTATTCCATTCTATTATTGGGGAGGTAATCTTAGGATTTTTGTTGTTTTTGTTTTAGGTTTTTTTTTTTTTTTTTTAGGGTTGTTGTTGTTTTTGTCCTGGGAGTGAGCAGAGTTTAATGAAAAAGAATGGGAATTAACCTGATTACCCTTGTAACAGATGAAAAGCTGAAGGTGGAGAATTCAAGCAATAACTAATTGTACATTTTAGAAATGTCTTTAGCCACTGAATATTGACAGCATGTTATTCAGTATTCTGAATTCTTGGTGGTCTTTCCGGCGTTTTTTTAAATACTGAGAAACGGTAGTTTAGTGCTCATGAGGGAACTCACAGTTAATGTAGATGGCTTTTGTAGTACTATGCCCTGGAAAGGGATGACTATTAGCACATCCTGGGTATGCTAAGCAAACCCAGTAAGGCACACTGAAATATACACACAACACAGTTGACAAAATAGTCCTCTTGACAATGTGAACAATGCAATAGTTCAAATTCCTAGACTCTGTGTAGTAGAAATATTCACATTGTCACTTCAAATGGCACATTACCCATTCAATGTACTACTTTCAATGTACTACTCCAGAATAAATCAATGCCTGGAGCGCTGTCCGCGGTCCTGAAGAAAGGTCTTCTCCTATCCTGCCGAAGTTCAATTAGGCAGGTGGAGTTGTCTGTGATGCTGAAGTCTTTCGGATTAGTTGATGGATGTAAATGAACCTAATTTAGCATATGTGCAAAATTGGTTCTTTGGGGGCCAATTAATAGTAAGAAAAATTTATGATAGACTTTTTACTGTTTAATATACTGGGTAAGAACTTCATGAATCTGGAAGCTTGATCTTTCACTTTTCCAACTAGAAATCCAGTAAATAATCCAACAAAAGCCAGATAGTTTAAAATACTAGTTTTAAGTAGAGAAGTTACAACTGTAATGTCAAATGCCATTATGTTAACAAGGAGTTATGGTACATTTTGTTTTCCCAGGTTTTATTAAATGCTAACTATACTGCAAAACTGCAGTATTTTGATTAGTCACAATAGAACATGCTCTTTTCAGGTAGTGTATATCAATCATGTTGACAGATGAAAAAACTAAGAATATTTATTGTTGCTCTGGCTGTCATTATTATATCTGCTAGGATCAAAAAGAGAAAGAACAAACAGAATAGGATAAATGAGACAACAAATACAGAACATATTGGACTATACATGTCTTAGAAGAGATATTTTAAACATGGACTGAAGGAGTCGCTAGATACCCTTGGTTTAGCACAAGGTGTTCCTTTTAAAGTGCTCAAATAGTCAGATTATTTGATTGAATTGCCTGCTACACTGCAGAACTAGTCATTCATGATACTTATTTTTGACACTGCAGTTATGCCTCCACTTTTTTTAAAAGTCAATGCGCACTTAATGCTTTTGCAAAATGTAGCTTTATTCTCATATCAGCATTTTATAATACCTTAAGAAAAAAGTAGAATGAAAAAAATCACTACATCGTTTTCTTGCTATCTGGAATAAATAGTACTCATATCCCTCCTTATTAAAAAATTAGATATTCTTCAAATAAGGTAGAATCTTATAATTTTTTCATAAGGTTTAACCTATGCCCTGTGAGTTGGTTATGAAAAACAGATTAATTTTAAGAAACAAGTCCAGCAGTTTGCGTTTCGTGCTACTTGATCACTTAAAATACTAATATGTAGTAATATACTTACTACTAACCATTTCAGTTTCACTTATGAATGTAAAATATTAAGACTGGGTATTTTAATCTCTATGCCTGGATGACAGCATATTACTTATTTCAACAGCAAAATGTATTTTCATGTTAAAAGAATATATACTTATGTACTTTTCTTTTCATTGAATAAATTGCACGTGGTGAAAGCCAAGACAGTCCGTCACTGCTTGAAGACTCTAAATATTCTGACCAGAACACTAGGCAATAATAAGGCATTTTTAGACAAAACTGTGACACTCAGTGTCGCCCAAGCTATGATCCCATATTCTGCCTCTGAAAGAAAAACATACTCAAAAAACCAAAATGAGAACAAATTTGGGCATAAATTATTGAAGCTTTTGGAGTTTGTTATACCAACTTAAACATCATTGTCTTTTTATATAGGCACAATTATTTTAGATGAGCTAAAAAAAAATGGGTGGGAAAGTATGATTCCTTCATTTTAACTCAACAATTTTCCTCCTAAAAAGACCACTTGAAGAAATCTATTTTTTTATTCCTGGGTAGTAATTAAGGAATGTCCACTCAAGTTTTTAAAGACTATCTTGACTTCTGCAATTGCACTCTAATCTATATTCACTCCTGGACAAAATTTTAAGAATATAAACAAGACTTTCTTTCAGCCTAAACACAGGTTATATTTGCAGTAAATTCCTCTGCCTTAGACCACTTCCTTTTATACAACTTACAGGCAAAGTGACTTTGGTTTAGCTTGTCATTTATTAAAATTCATCGGTGGATTGTAAGAAGTGCGCTTGCATACACCAGTCACTCTCTTAGCAAAGACTCTTATGGAAAATAAAAGCACTTTTCTCCACGTAAATAAATCCGACTTCTTTCTTGAAACTCAAGGCGGGCGTTGAGATAGGTTGCATAAGAGATATTGGGGAAGCTTGCTGGCGGAGAGCCTTAACAGGCAAGCAGCTATCTCAATTTTTCTCACTTAATCTTGGCTTCACGTCAGAAGCTGTGCGGCAGTGCAGTAGAATAGGGCCTGGCAAAACCTTTGCGAGCAAAGCGCCTTTTGTGCTGGGACAGTGGCTCATTACCGACGCCTCGGAGGTTCCCAAGGCTGGATTTCCTATTGATTTCCTCCTCCTTTGCTTCCCCAGGCTCGCGCGGCCGGACATTGTGGGTGTGCGTGCTGGATTTCTCCCGGATGCTCCCCGACTAACATGGATGTCCCACCATCCCTTGCAGTGGAAGGTTGCTCCTTGGCGCAGTGAGTGAGGAACATGCAGCGATTGCTAATGGGTTTGGGAAGCGGAGACTCCTTCCTCTCTGTGACCATGCCGTGATCGTGTCTGCGGCCACCACTCGACGCATCCTCATTCCTATCCGAACCGGGAGCCTAACGCTAGATCGGGGAAGTGGGTGCCGCGCGGGTGGACACAGAAACACCATGAAGATTATTTCCCCGATTCTAAGTAATCCAGTCTTCAGGCGCACCATTAAACTCCTGCTCTGCTTACTGTGGTTTGGATATTCCCAAGGAACCACACATGTATTAAGATTTGGTAAGATTCCCCATCTTTTTCTCTTGCGGGGTATCCGGCTCCAAGGCAGCCGGATGTAAACAGGCGGGCTCACTCTGACGGGCGGGTGGGCTCAATGCGTTCCGACCTGTTCACTGCTCCGGAGCCTCCCGGGGTTTTAAAGAACCCCTGCGTGTCATTTTCATTTCCTTTTCTCTTTCTTTTATTAAAAAAAAAAAAAAAATTAGCCCCGGAAGGGTGAAGTGAGTGCCAGTGTGGTGGTGGTGGTCGCTGCATTACCTCCACACAGTAGCCACAGACGGTGATGATGCTAGGGGCACCGCCGGCGGTTGCGCCCGCCTCTCTCGGCGGGAGCCTTCCGGGCTTGGCGGGCTGGAAGCGCGCGTCAGGGCTCCACGCATCTCAGCTTGCGGGGCTGAAGAGTCAGTATCTGGGAACTCTTTGGAAAGTTGGCGCCTGTCCGCTTCGGTCTGGGACTCGGACAGGTCCGCAAGTGAAAGGCGCTAACCCTTTTGATTTCTTTTGTCATCAGAGAGCCTTTTAGGTTAATTTCACCGCTTTTCCAGCCCCTGGTGCCTTTACGGGGACACGGGGCTTTGAAAAATATTGTTGTAAGGTAGAGGCTCTACTTAGCAGGAGGAGACAGCTGCTTAGCTGAAGAGAAATAGCGGCCTAAGAAAGGTTTTTTTGTTTTGTTTTGTTTTGTTTTGTTTTTAACTTGTGAGTCCTCCTCTCCCAGCTTTCTTACCTGTCCTGATCTAATGAATGATTAACAGTGGTGAATGGGGCGGAGAGGAGTTGTGTATGGGAGTCTAAGTATGCATCTTTATTTCACTGTGGCATGATAACAGAGTCGAGTGGCAGTTATATATTAGAGGAATCTATTACTTTCCAAAGCAATCGGGGTTCCTTTAGAGCTCAAAGGGAAATCTAAACATGGGATTCCATGAAAACGCTGGTCAGAAGGTCTGCTTGGAGGAAATGAAGCGTGGGCAACACTCAGCTGCTGTGGATGGCCAATGGAGTTTTAGTAGGAGAAGAACTAGTCAGGGAAAGTTCCCTTAAGTAGGTAAGAGGGAGAGAGGAGAAAGCCAACCAGGTAAATGCTCCCACTGTGGGCGCCTCCTTTGACAGTTCAAGTGGATTTAGACCAAAGAGTGCGAGAAACCATATAATCCTGAGCATGCGTCTTTGAGATAAAAACAGATACATTAAGTCAGTCAAATTTAAGTTGAAGTGATTGCCTGCATCTCCTATCATGTCAACAGCATCTCTTCTCTTTCCTTTTTTTCATGTGCTTTTTCTGTAATGATAAAATCTCTCATCTTTCTCAGGCTTTGTGAAACCAGGGTAGGAATGCTTTTCACATATTAAAAAAAAAAGGGAATCCTACCTTCCCCTCCCCCCATTCAACACGTAAACACCTGGAGTCCAGAAGGCTGGTAATGACAGAGACAACAGGTCTATCTAAATTCCTACTGTAGCTTTTTTTTTTTTTTCTTTCTTCATGCCTTTAGATGGTACTTAAGCACGTTGCTCTTAGCAACAAGCGTCCACAGGAATGCCTGTTTTTTTGGATGAGATTAAACAGGTCCCTGTATCATTAAAAATGTGTGTGCGTTCAGCTGTTCTCTTTCAAGCATGGTAAATGCTACAGTATGGTAGTTTTGCCCAATATTTTGAGTAGTACAACGTACTTATTTGGAATACTGAGGTATCTTCTGAAATGTGTTTGTGAATGAGTGTGCCTTAGTGTGTTTGCTTGCGGACTGGGTGGGGAAAAAAAAAGAAGACTTGGAGCTGAAAAACTGCCACCGATACTCTAAAGATTTAATTATTGCTGGTCTGGTCTTGCAGCACAATATTTGCTGAATCATTAGATTGTTACATTCGCTGATCATTTCATATCTTCATATTAAAAATCTTGGCGACTATAGCAGAGTGTGTAGCAGCTTTCTAAAAGAGCTGACACACACACAAAAATATATTTTCCTAGACCAATGCTTACTAAGAATGTCCTTAAGAAATAGGAGAGTAGGCAAAGACTTTCTTGCAGTGCCTTGATACCCTAAACCAACAGCTCAGTTTTTAGATAACCTGTTATTTTCTCCATTAACTTCAGACATCTTCCACGTGGAGATCTATTTTCTCTGATTTCTGACCTGAGTTATGGGGAAGGATTGTGTACATTGTAATCATTGGACCATTTCCCCTGTTGGGGCTATTTGGATGCAGTGGTTTATTTATTTTTTTTCCTTCTGGGGAAACATGTTTTGAGTGGACTGGATGGTTGGTTGAGAGTGTATAAGCCATTCTTGAGAAAGGTTAATTTCAAATTTGACTCCAAGGACCAACCAAAGCCTCATCCTAAGATCCGTTTCTTGTAAGGGTAGGGTTTGGATTTGCTGCTGAAGCAGCTACCCCTGGGCAGTGGCCTGCCAGGTGCTGGTGAGAAGCACTGCCTCTGCTGAAGAGGTGGCAACTAGTCCCTTCCCCACTTCCTCCACCGACTAGGCTTGACTAGGAGCCGCCAGCCACCCTGCAACTCTGCCTTGCCTCGGTGCTATGGCAACTGCTGAGCCCAGCCAGGAAGCTGTCCCAGCCCCAATTCCCGTCAGGTGGTGGAAAACCACCCTCAAGGGCTCTATGCTGTCCTTTCTACCCTTAACCCCCGCCCTCCACGTCCCCTCCCCCCACCCAAGGGCCATAACTTGACCCAGAACCCGTGTCCTCCTATCAAAGTCTGTGGATTGGGGAGCTGTCTGCACAGGGCGCTGACCCTTGCCTAATCGCTTTCAGTCCCCCGCCCGCAGGTCTTCCGGGTACAAAGCTTCACTCACTTGCTCAGGGGCTTTCTTACACGCGCTCTCTCATTTCTCTCTCTCTCTCTCTCATACACACACACACACACACACACACACACACACACACACCCCAGGCAAATGCACTCTCGCGATGCAAGTCTGACACTTCGGCACAATGACTCCTCTCTAGTACTCAAAAAACTTAGGCAGCTACGCCTGGGAGCGCCTCTGTCCGGGCACACACCCCTCCCACCCTGACTGCCTCCTACTGAGCTTCACACCCGGGCCTGTTCCTCGTACCACTTAGCAAACATCTCCGAGAAAAGGTGTCCGGAGCGCTGACCCTAGGGCGGTTTCCCTAAGCTTTAAGACAGCCCAGGACAGTGAGGGAAGGGACCTGTGGTCAGCTGAGTCAGCTCCTCGGAAACGAGAGGGCAGGTGCCTCTCCGTGGGTTGTGGCAGTTTCCGTCTTCGATCCTGGCTGTGCACATCTTGGCTTCTCCACAGTGCCCACCTAGTGAGAGGCTATCAGGGGACAAAGTGGATCCTGGACAGTTAGAGTCAGTTCCCCCACTCCAGGTCAGTTCCAACGTTCTCAGAGCCAGCTTTTCCAGGTGCGGGAGGAGCTCCCACCCCCGCCGCTGCCCAGGCATTGTGGGTCCCAGGGCTATGTAAATGAGGCACCTTTGTGTCGCCGCAGCTGCGTCCTGGCCTTGCGCGTAGTTGGAGAGGGCAAAGGCAGGATCCTTCCGTTCGCGGGGGCGTGCCCCCAATACCACAGTCTCCCTGCTAAACTACTGCTGCTCTCAGTACTTGAACACTGCTTCTGTTACAGTAGACTCCCTTTCTTCCTGTTCCGTTCAGACCTCTGCTCCTGGGAAAGCGTGGGGGTAAAAAGTGGCTCTGCGGGGGGTGGGGGCTATACTGGGCTAGCAGTCCCTTTTGTAGTTTGGGGGCGTTGGCATCTTCTTTGAGCAGTCACTCCTCAAGCTACCACTTGTTTCCGATCTTTGAGGTCGGGTTATTTTTCAGTCCTTATCTGAACTGGCATTTAGAACGCCAGGAGCGAAGACATCAACCCAAACTTTCTCCCAAACTCTTGGGCAGCTTCTCCAAGCTAGTGGTATCCGAGGAGCTGAGCGTGTGAGATATAGGCCACTTCTTTCCTTAAGCTGTTTCGACTTAGCTTTTCTTTTAAGCTTGCCAGTAGAACGGCTTTTTTTAAAGGCTTCGCAGGCGAGGTCTCCCCCCGCGCAGATGAGCTCAGACCTCTTTGCTGGCCAGCACTCTATGGCGCAGCACGTAGCCACCTCCCAGCACACATGGCGAAGGTGACAGCTCAGATAATAAAACCCATGACGTGAGAAGGAGTGGGAAGAGTTCCTATGGAAATCCCCCTATTTGCTGGACATCCCATGCTCCCAGATATAATAATTAGTAGCAGATGTACTACAGCATGAAGGAGGGTGAGTGAATTGACTGAGCTTAGAAGCCGCCACTCTCTGCTAGTTCTTTGAAACCCATTTTTCTTCTTTTGGGAGGTGAGGTGGGTGGGAGGGAGGAGTGGCCTTACATCTGGAAGCAGGAAAACTGGCTCCTGAGAGGCGGGGATGGGGGAGTAATAGCGGCTACTGTTTGTAACAGATAAAGCCCGAACACCTGCTCAGCTGAGCTCTGGAAAGCAGGGGAGGGAAATCTTTCCAAGAATTGCCAACACAATGGCCACTAAAAAAATTCTGTTTTTCACATAAGTTCTCACTTATTCTTAAAGCTTCAAAGACTAACTCTGATGTGATCCATCAACAGAGGCACACTCATGTCAGAAAATGACTTTGAAAAACGATCTTTTCGTCCTCTAGAAATAGCACCCCTTCTCCACCCAGACACATGGAACTCAACACATTTTCAGGCTTTGTGAGGTTGTCTTTCAGAAGTGAACAGGGTTTATATGTCTGTAGACAATTTTTTAGATAGACACCTTCTGCTCTATGGTTTAATTCAAGTGATTATTGCAGTGTGTTCATTCCCTGAATTCTCAGATGACACTGTTTCAACATTTACTCAGCACAGGAAAGTTAATGTGAATTGCTCCCACACAAAGGAGGAATATACCATAGACCAAACACGGGATGTATCATTGATTATCAGAGCCTTTTCAAGTCTATTCACCATTAAATAAAGTGTTGCCTGTGATAAAGATGACATAATCTTTGATTT